TTCAGATCATTACATATATGGTGACACCGAGATACTTGTATGACCACCCATTTTCGAAAATAACCCTAGAAATTACATAAGGCAACAGAAAGGGGTTGTGGCAGTGGTGAAATGAATTGAAATGAAAAAATAAATGACGGCGGGCACTGCCACCTTCGCCGCCAGTGTCCTTAACCATATCACCACGCAATAGTACAAAAAAACCTAGAACCAAAGACAATGTGGGGCTCAAAACCCGGTTCTGCTGGGTGCAAGCCCAATATTCTACCACTTAGTGACGCTGGTGCTTGTGACTTATTGGCAAACTTTCCTTAGGCAGGCTTGATGCCGGGAAAGCAATCGCGTTACTACGACTTATAAAGCATTTTAAAGCAGCGAAAGAACAACCAGTCGTCGCATAATGCGAATAGCATAACGAGTGGGCCGTTTAGTGCTCCAACCCATTACAAAAGATTGTTCTTGTTTTCCTGTTAACTGTGGCGCATACCCTCTTCAGCTATAATTTCCCATCGTCGTCAGCCGGTGCATGAGCAATTGGCAAGAAATTATTTAGAATTGTTTAAAGGGTACTATGCTTCTCCGGAGAACAATGAAGAATGGCAGTGAATGCCGGCCTACTACCCAAAAGTTTACTCTAAATGCCCTAGTAGATAACAAGCAAGTGTGCTTGCAGTATTTACTCAATGAGTGTGTTGAAAAGGCTCTGAAAGGCCACTCTTTTAGTATGCTGCACTTTCGGCGCATGCCTGGCGTTTTTTTTAACTACAAATTCCATTTTTTCGTCTTTTGTGAGAAAATTATTTTCTGCAAAAGAGTTGAGCATTCTTATTAAAACTCCAGTTCTGGACGAAAATGGAGTTGCATGCAAGAAAGAGTTAAACCATGAAGTTGTTATGATAATTACATGTTCTGACACCTGGTGGCAGTGTACGCTTGTACCGTGCAATGTTAGAGCAATAATTTCTTTTGTATTGATTGATTGATATGTGAGGTTTAACGTCCCAAAACCACCATTTGATTATGAGAGACGCCCTTTTGTATTAAGAAGCATTAATACGGGACACATGTGTTGGCATGAATATTACTTTCACTGACTTTCCCAGCAGAGGAAAGTACACTACAAGGCAAAATTACCCGGAAAACGAGTAACGGAGTCCACTAGGTGCGTGCAATGAACAGATAGATCATTGAGGAGTGACGACAAAGGGATGCGTGTCGCTGCAAACTTCTTAGTCTCGAAAAGGTTGAGTCGCGCTGGAGAGGCGAGCCATGCGCAAGCTGTTGTTGAGGAATCTAGCCGTCCTCCTCTCTCTTCGCTCAGTCTTCCCCCTTATTTTGCTGGTGACTATGAAGGAATGCTGGTGATGGTTGGCGTTGCATCGCGGCCGGAAAGCTCGACGTTCTAGTATTAACGCCGCGGTGCTTGTGTGTATGCTTAGATGAGTGTGCGTTGCTGCATTTACGTTTCGCCACACCCATGAAGTCTGGAGCCACTCTCAACACGTCGCCACACCATGCTATATATCTCTGGCTTAGTCAAAATGGTAACAACCAACTCACGACACCACCAGTTCCAAATGAAAGCCAACACGGCGGTCGAGAAGACAGCAGGCCTATCGGATATATTCTTTCTGTCTGACTCAGGGAGAAATCAGCGCTAGGTTATGTCACAAGTCGGTGATCATTCTTTATTCTGCCATATTTGTCGCGTATGCGAAAAGGATCGCACTTGCTGGCAACGGGCTCGGTCGTGTAGTATATCGCACGCACGAAATGCACCGCGAAGGTCGGCATGAGCTTCTGCAAGTCGCCTTTGCTTTATGACCACTTGCAAATTTGCAGCCATTGCTGTCGGCCGCATGGACGCTCGCTCATCGAGTGCTCGCCTGTGTTCGCTGCCGTGATGAGCTCTGGCCTCACAATATTGGGTGGAGACCTCGTCGCTTTGTTGCGAGTCGTCCAAAATACGTTGCGGTTGCTCGTCACGAGCTTCGTGGTATGTCGCGCGCTTAAGTGCACCGGCACGGGCTGGCGGGGCTGTCGCTAGCATCGGAACTTTGTAAAAATTTGTCACCATTAAAGTTGGCTACCCTATGAATCGGTCGCAAACAGCTCGGCACTGTTCGTAGTGGCGGCCCACCATACGCTTACTTCCTGTTCGAGGTTCGCTGGCAGTGAACGCTCCGCATGCAATGCCGTGTTTGGTCTCGCGTTTGCTTGCTCGAGCTCGCTTAGCACTCGCCTACTTGCGGCATGATGGATTGCGGCCCCTAGGAGTTATGGCTGCGGGCACAGCATTTAAGCTGTTGTGCTACGGATATCGGAATGCGTCTTTGACATTGAGTTACACCACGGTTAAATTATTTTATGCCATATTTTACACGTATTTGTCATATGCATGCATATACAAATCTCTCACGTGTGAAAAACTATTTTTACAATTTTATTGTTCAGCCGTGAGCACACACCGTGCAGAAGGCTGCGGCTCTGTGTGCTGATGTCTGCAATGCCTGCCATCTATCGCCTTCATTAGAGCAGCTTCAGAAGGACTGTACGAGAGGTGAAGGTAAAGTTATTTGAGTATCATATTTTACACGTATTTTTGTGTCAATTTGCAGGTACTTGTCGTATGCGTGTATATTTGTCTTCTGTAACGTGCGACTAACTATTTTTACAATCTCATGGCCCAGCCGTGGACACACAGCATGCAGAAATAAGGCTGTGTGCGCTGGCGTCTCCAATGCCTGTCATCTATCGCTTTTGTCAGAGGAGCTTCACAAGGACTGTACAAGATGTGACAAGGAGGCTGGACTTGTACATTCCAACATGCATTCAATAAAGAATAAAAAAATGTTGTGTGTATATATAAAAATGGTAGATTTGAATATCTCACTTTTGTCTTTCGTTGTTGAAGTGACTGCCAAAGCAGTGGTACACATGTAGCTAAATAGTAATTCGCGTGTTCTTTACGTGCCAATTGTTGCTCACTGCGCAGAGAAACGGGCTAGAAAAGTATTAGGCCTAGTGGAGGGTGAATAGACAAAAACAATGTTTGAACTGGGGATAAAAAGCTCATCTGACTGGATAATTTCAGTAGACCAAGCACGCGTCCGGTGAAGCGTTACTGTGAGGGCTAATGGTTGTCCGGTAAGGTTACCACAATGCCGGGTATGTGGGGACTAATGATTGCTCGATAAGGTTTAATTGTGATGACTAAATTTTAGTCATTTGGGGTGATTTTTTAAACTAATGGTTACCCGCTAGCATGTGAAATTGAGGACTAAATGTTGGTTCTTTGAGCTAGTCTTTGGGAAGTCATTGTTACACGCTGCGCCGTTAGTCTTTAAAAGGAATAATGGCTTTGGCAGCCCTAGTAGTCCCCAAGAGGACGAACCACACACTCTTTTAACACCCTTTTGCCTTAGAGTGTATTTTGAGTGCATTTACAAGCTGAAGCGTGGGCGCGTGGTAAAACACCCGCTTGCCAGCAAATGACCCTGATTCGATCCTCTCTCACATAAAAGATTTTTATTATTTCATTGGCATCCTTCTCAATTTTTCGGTAGCGAACAACAAGATCATATTTTTTCGCCCTCTGCAAACGACGCCGATGCCGAAATTTTTGAGAAACGAGCTCTCTAATGCGGTAGCTTTCAGCGCAAAATAAAGCGTTCCTATGCATTGTGTCTGTTCACGAGGTTCCCTATAAGTTGAAAAAAGTTGGTGAGAGGTTCGATTATGTGAGATTTTTCTGCTTCAGACAAGCTTGGGCGTATTTGTGCATTTTTGTATAAGAAGTTATCCTGACAGAGCAAGCGGGACGATGGGTGTGACAACAAGCACCCTGAATAATTGGTCGAGTCGGGCACAAAGGTAGTTTATGAAATACCGTTATTTTGAGGGAAATGCTATGTCGGGCAGATGGCTCGGTCTTCGAATAATAGATTACTAGGTCATAAGGCTTCATTGAGAGGGACACCTTGTTCTTATTTTTTTACATTGCATGGACTGTGGCTGCACGCCCTTGCTATCAGAAACAAAGGTGCTCTCAATATTAAAGGGAAAGTTGGACAAGAAATTCAGTAAGCGTATTTTATTGATAGATTGAGCGAGGTATACGTGGAGAGCCCCTCTATCACTCTGCCTGCTACTTAGAGTGCTTGAGCACCTGCCACTAATAAAATCTACTTTTTTGTTACTGGGACTTGTAACTGTTGATTGATTGATTGATATGTAGGGTTTAACGTCCCAAAACCACCATATGAATATGAGAAACGTCGTAGTGGAGGGCTCCGGAAATTTTGACCACCTGGGGTTCTTTAACGTGCACCCAAATCTGAGCACACGGGCCTACAACACTACTGCCTCCATAGGAAATGCAGCCGCCGCAGCCGGGATTGCAGCCGCCGCAGCCAAGTACCTTAGCCACTAGACCACCACGGCAGGGCGACACGTAACTGTGACTTTGTTCCTGTATATATAGAAATGTGTGTGTGCCTTTCGAATAAATTCAGTTGATAGTTTGCGCTTGTTCGTCTTGTTTTTATTTAGCGCTAAAAGCTACCATATAATGAACCAACTCGCCCAAAAGGTCAATCCACTAAAACTCTTTAACGCTATCGCGTCAATACCTGAAGCGCTCGAGAGCAATATTGCAGAGGGAAATACACAGGATAGTATATGCTTACCTGAACAAAGACTAGTGAAAAAATAAGAAGAGCACTAGAACAGATGGTAACAAAAATGTATCTATGTGTGTAGCAGTATGTCCCAGAAAGATGCTTCAGTGCGGCTGTCAGCTGTCTCCCGTAGGAGTAGATTTCACTGGGAGATTGTGTGCCGAAAAATGAAGTTTTGAAGACGCTTCTTCGGCAAAAACGTTCTCTTAGTGTTCGGGGGCGGTCACTTCTTATATGTATTGTTCATTTCATGCCCATTCTGTTGAACAGTTTCATATTTTATAGCCAATGTTAGAACTCGAGGTATTGAACTCAGCTTACTTTCGAAATCTTCTTAGTCTTGTAGTGGTCCACAGCGTAGAAAGCGATGCAGCCCCCAAAGTAGCATGCCGCGTGGTATGTAGGAAGCATGTAGACGTCAGTAAGCATATCCAGGTAGTCACTGGAAAATGGGAATGCAATAAACGTCTAATCAGCACACTGTCGATTTGTTTATTTGTAATTCCTTTAAGTTTGTAGTTCACAATTCAGGAATTTTGGGAATGATTAGCTGAGAGGTGTGTACTCTAGTATGGAAAATAAAGAACATCAAGTTAGAAATCTTTGTTCATAAATTGTACGTGAGATTCAGCATTCAATAACAATATTCAGAGATTTATTGATTTACACGTGGGATTTAATGATTAAGGGAATGAGGATCAGTTGTCTTTTCACTTAAGAAACGATCTAACTTATTGAACATTTTGAATAAACTCTATAGTTAGAGGATGTGGCAGCAGTTGTAGCAGTAATTTTTTTCGAAGACGACACTCACAGGTTGAAATCAATGAATCACCGTGAGCGTTTCAATTCTGTTCTCTGTAGGCATACCCTCTTGGACAGCACTTCCATGCTTTATACCGCGAAGGCATTACTGCCTAAGTTTATTCCTAGATAGTTTCTCGTCAGAGAAATCTTTTGAAGTTATGTTTCCATACGCAGTAGAAAAACCGGCGTCAGAAAAGTTATAGACTGACTCGCTAAAGTTTCTTAGTGACCATACCGTGATATTTGCGAGATGCCCACTCTTATCTTCTGTCAGAGCAGCTGCTGTTTTATATTACTGATCACATTCCTAGCCTTTCGCCCATTGACATGGGGTTCTTCTCTAAAATTATCCCAAAAGGTGATAGTAGGTTTTCGACGTTGGCCGTCGATAATATTGAACTTCTGACAACACAACAACAAGCGCATTCTATGAGCGCAGAGCAAATCAAATGTTTTGTTTTAGGCGTACCAGCCTCTACGTAGTGGCTAAGCCTGGCTTTCGCTACTTCGGATGTTATAAATGGTGAAAGTGCTTTCAGCGCTTTTTGTCTAATTGTTAGAAAAGAAGTATGAAAATCGAAGATATCAACATTTTTTGGAATTATATTTGCTCACAGTTCAACACGGAGTAATCGGAGAATTTGGTGGCATACCGTCAAAGTGACATGGTGTCGGTGTCTCAACAATTATTTGATTTTTTTATTTATTTAGTTTATTGTGGTTAGGAAAACCATGCAGGTGGCAAATATTATAGTTGTATGGGGTGGAAATTTGCTGTTGACTAAGATGGGAAACTACATGTACACAAATAGAGCCGTGAAGCACACAAACTCACAGAAAAGAGACACAAATAATACGTGTCAGCATCTCAAAAAACCAGCGCATCTCTAGAGATATGATAATTTATATAGGATAATGACACCCAATATTGAAACGGTCACTAAACACACACAAGCAAAGCACTCTTTATAACTGCTTCAGCCTGGCAGCCATTGTCGCCAGCCTAACTGCCTTTAGCAACTCTTCTTTGATCACTTTCCTAAGGCTCATCTCAGCTAGTGTCACGCTAGGCATCACTTCACCTCATAACATCTTTCCACCGGGAGGTAGAGTTGGAAGAAGGAGATAGGTAGGGCGACAGCATTGTTTGTCGAGTTCTACATCTGCATTCTTGACCAAGGTGAAGCGGTGCTACACTAAACCCAGTGGACGCACTTTGTGACGACGAACCATCTTTATCTTTAGGACATGGGCCATTGCGGAAAACTCGCGCTGGGTGATCTGAAAGCCGTTGTTGACAACCATAAATTTAGGACAAGTGTTATGCCACAGGGTGCGTGACTTGACCTCCCAGATTGTGGAAACTAATCGTTGCCAATTTGTTGCAATGCTTTTATTGCGATAGCAATTTTATGAACACTCTTGGCTGGATTTCGCCACTGGCATCCACGTCAGCGTTGACGTTGACGTGGGCGCCACTGTCACTCACTGTCACACACACACACACCATATATATATATATATATATATATATATATATATATATACATACATACATATATATATATATATATATATATATATAGGCAGGCATGGTGGTTGAGTGGCCGTAGCGTTGCATATAGTCTAGTAGATCCTCCGTGAGTGGTCACAACGTGGTTTATTTCGACGTTTCGGCCTAGAGTCTGGCCTTCATCAGGCCAGATCAGGCCTGATGAAGGCCAGACTCTAGGCCGAAACGTCGAAATAAACCACGTCCTGATGAAGGCCAGACTCTAGGCCGAAACGTCGAAATAAACCACGTTGTGACCACTCACGGAGGATCTACTAGACTATATATATATATATATATATATATATATATATTGTCACGTTACTCACGACAAACTTGGTACAATGGGCTCGTTTAGTCGACTTGCCAAGCAGCGGCTCAGAGAGATCGTCTTTGTCCTCTTTCACTCTTCAATCTCACCCAAGCAAACCATGTGGCAATAGTCCCCCCTTTGAAAGCATCGACTCGATGCTCGTAAATAAAAAAATGAAGGTATACACACGCAGATATAGAGAACCAAAAGACGGAGAGTGCCAGTACTCGCAGCGCAAATGAGGAAGTTTCGTCAACGCTTGCGCAAAGCGCAAAAAGAAAATGCATAAAAACACAGGACAACACAAACAGCAGCAGCAATGCAAAGTCATGACATGTCGTAGCACGTGAAACCACAAGGGCTACTGTGTGAAGTAGGGCTTCAGCCGAACGACGTACACGGTTTCGGGCCGAAGCTGTCGACGAGAAGATGCTGCGCCGTCCGGAAATACCTCGTAGGTAACATCTGTGACTCGTCTAAGAACCTTGTACGGTCAAAAATAACGGCTTAGGAGTTTTTCGGATAAGCCTGGTCGCCGGACAGGGATCCACACCCACACTCGGTCCCCAGGGTGGTAGGTGACATTTCTTTGGCGGAGGTTGTAACGTCGTGCGTCTGCATCTTGTTGGTGACTGGTGCTTATGCGAGCTAGCTGACGAGCTTCTACGGCGTATTGAGTGTATTGCTCAGCATCTTAAGCAAGTTCATTGCTTTGGTCGCACGGAAGCATAGCATCGAGCATGGTTCGCACGTTGCGTCCGTAAACAAGTCGGAAAGGCGGAAATCGCGTTGTTTCTTGCGTTGCCGTATTGTAAGCAGACGTGATGTATGGAAGAATCTCGTCCCAGGTTTTGTGTTGTACGTCCACGTACATCGACAGCATGTCCGCTATGGTCTTGTTAAGCCTCTCTGTCAGTTCATTAGATTGCGGGTGATAAGCCGTTGTTTTTCGATGACTTGTGCAGCTTAGTTTAAAAATGTCCTCCATCATTCGTGCTGTAAACGGCGTCCTTCTGTCCGTAATCACGCATGACGGGGCACCATGCCGTAGGACGATTTGGTGCACGAAGAACTGCGCCACTTCAGAGGCCGTGCCATGGGGTAACGCTTTTGTTTCAGCATAATGCGTAAGATAATCTGTCGCAACTATAATCCCTTTGTTCCCAGAGGACGACAAAGGGAAGGGCCCGAGAAGGTCCGTTCCCACGAGGTCAAATGGTGTCCGTGGTGGTGCGATCGGCTGGAGCAGGCCCGCGGGTCTCACAGGCGGAGTCTTGCGGCGCTGGCACTCACGGCAGCCTTTCACATATTGATGTACACTAGTTGATAGTCGCGGCCAGTAATACTGTTGGCGTACTCTGGCGAGAGTTCGCGAATAGCCCAAATGTCCTGACGTAGGCTCGTCGTGGCACGCAAGGAGGATCTCATCACGCATGTCGGTAGGAACAACAAGTAGGAAGGTTTTGTCGCTCCCACGGCCGTTTTTCTTGTAAAGAATGCCTCTTCTTAGACAAAAAGAGGACAGTTCACGAGCAACGTGTTGACGGACCTGAGAGTTGCGGCCTTCCAGGGAATCAATGACTGGGCGTAATTCATCGTCTGCCCGCTGGTTTGACATAAAGTCGGAGTCGCTAACTGCTCCGAGAAAGGCATCTTCATCTTCGGAGCCCCTGACAGCGTTCCCCACAGGTGCTCGAGAAAGCGCGTCGGCGTCTTCGTGTTTGCGTCCTGACCTGTACAATATCGTAATATCGAACTCCTGCAAACGCAAACTCCACCGTGCGAGACGGCCGGATGGATCTCTGAAATTTGCTAGCCAGCAGAGCGAGTGGTGGTCAGTCACTACTTTGAAGGGACGACTGTAGAGGTAAGGCCGAAATTCGGTCGTCGCCCACACGACTGCGAGGCATTCTTTTTCTGACGTAGAATAGTTGGTCTCGGCTCGAGAAAGAGTACGACTGGCGTAAGCTATCACATGCTCAACGCTGCCGTGTTGTTGTACAAGGACAGCGCCAAGTCCGACGTTGCTGGCATCTGTATTAATTTCTGTAGCAGCGTCCTCATCAAAATGGGCAAGAACAGGGGCTGTTTGCATTCTCTGTTGTAACTCTGTGAACGCTGTATCTTGTTCTGCGCCCCAAGTAAAGGGCACGTCATCTCGTGTGAGTCGCGTAAGAGGTTCAGCTATCTTCGAGAAGTTGGCGATAAATCGGCGTTAATACGTGCACAAGCCGAAAAAACGGCGTACTGCTCTTTTATCTGATGAAACAGGGAAGGCGGCGACAGCAGCTGTTTTGTCTGGATCAGGTCGGACTCCATTCGCACTAAAAACATGTCCCAGAAATTTCAGCTCTTCATAGCCGAAATGGCATTTTTGGGGTTTTAGCGTGAGTTCAGCTGTGCGAATGGCTTCCAGAACCTTTCTCAGACGCTTCAGATGTTCTTCGAAGCTCTCGGAAAAGATGACCACATCATCGAGGTAGACAAGGCAGTTTTGCCACTTCAAGCCAGTGAGAAATGTGTCCATCATCCTCTGAAAAGTGGCTGGTGCAGAAGAGAGGCCGAAGGGAAGAACTCGGAATTCGTAAAGTCCGTCTGGAGTCGCAAACGCGGTTTTTTCTCGGTCTCGTTTATCCACTTCAATTTGCCAATAGCCACTCTTCAGATCGATAGACGAAAAAAACTTCGCGCGTCGTAACCTGTCGAGTTAGTCGTCGAACCGTGGAAGCGGGTAGACGTCCTTTTTTGTGACGCTATTAAGCTTCCTGTA